TATATTATACCTGGATATCTACGGTCGACCGATCTGTTACAGCCGACACCCTGCTTAGTTTCGACGCGACGACACGTACCTAGGTATAGTGGGTATACTATTTTACAATAGACTATTTAGGCACATAGTGCGACCACTGACGACATACTTTATAAAAATAATATCGTGGTACTTATCGCGTAGTTGATCTAAACACTCGCATCGTTACCGTGTTCACGTCCGTGCGTGTTACATATTTTTCATTCGTCGTCGTACCGGTACCTCTGACGATGGTAATATATTATAACGACTACGGTGATGACGATGATGACAGTTATTATCATTCAAAATGAGCGGACAACCGAATCGGTATATAAAAGCTCGGGATTCACTCGTTATCCGACTTATGTCACTAGTGCATCATGCGTGTACAGTACGCGTTTGTCGTGTTGGCTACCGCCACGGCCGTCGTCCGGGTCGAAGGGTACCTAGACGTCTTGTCCAACTTGCAAGATTGCGAATCGACGGACTTGAACGCGTGCCTCGAACGCCGATTGGCCCGGTCCATCGATGAAGTATTGGACAAGAACGAGACTTACCGGCTGAACCGGTATCTGACCGTTACCGCTGTCCGTAACCACAGCCAACATACTGAAGGCGACGACTTGGCCACGAGGTTTTTGGACTTTTTCAACGCACTGCAAATCCAATACCAACCAGAAGAAGACGACGGATCGACCGATGACGTTTCCGAAGGTACCACCTCACCAGTACTACAGCTAGATAGTATTATAATTTCTTTAAAATAATATGTACAAACGGAATATTATAAAATATAATATATAGGTACCCAACCGCGGGGGAGACCTATTATTTATGTTTCTTGACGACAAGTCCAGTTTTTAGATTCTGAGCGGAACGAGGAAGCTAGTGGTCTTACAATGGTGTTTATTTTTTTTATTTTTTTTTTATATCCTGTATACAAAATTTCTATCAGAAGGAGTTAGGAGTTTTTCGATTTCAACATATTATAGTACCTTATCTTTTAGCCAATTGGATCCAAATGGTACTTTAGAGAGGTCATTTTTCGATTTTATCAATAGTTATTTAATGCCACGGTAAAAACCACCGACAAATTACGAAAAACCGCTAAAAATTGGACTTTAATTTCTAACTCTTTGCTTATAACCATAGAAACGAATAAAAAATAATAATATTATTATAATATTAATTCAACTTACATGATATAATAACTAATTATAGATACAATATAAAATATCGAGACTGGCAAACCGTCTCCGCTCAGAATCTTTTTTCTTATACAATGATATTATATCATTGAATTCAAGTTTAATACGATCCATTATACAATGACCCACTTGTAACCTACTTTACAGCAGAGCGGCATCCACTTACCCACTTTTTTTAATATTAATTTAATATTTAATTGTATTTTTGTATATTTGCAACAATTACGTTATTTCCCTCCCTCCCCCCACACTAAGTTAGACATATGTTGCGTACTATGCTCTTTGCTCATGCTGCCTTGTAAAGATATTACAATCGTAATGATAACCATTAAACCGTATGATATAAATTCGAAAAATCGGTTACAGGTCGTAAGAGAAAATTAGGCTACAAGAAAAAAAAGCACAAGATGGGGTTGATGATGGGATTCACGTCGATCGGCATGACCATCATCGGTGGTCTGTTCAACAAGATAATGATGGGCGCCGCGATATCGATAGCCGTGAAAGCTCTGATCATAGCCAAAATCGCTCTGCTCCTGGCCGGCACCATGGCGATAAAAAAGCTGTTGAGCGGTGGCGGCGTCGGTGTCAGCGTTCACCCTTCGTGGAACGGTGGCGGGGGAGGTGGTGGAAACGAACAGCACAGCGGGTATCGCAGGAGTTACCCCCCGCCGCAGAGTATGACCACAGCCGATGCGATGGCTTACAGGGATCAAATCGACTCGTATGTCGACGCCAGATATCCCGGAAGTCTTGTGACGTAGGTAAATGACTAGTCACCAGTGGCGGATTTAAGGGTTCACATGTTTAAGTCGTCAAATCCATAAGAGGGCAAAAAGTAGCATCAGATACTTAGGAAATTGTTGTTTTTATTAACCTAACCTAACAATGGTAAATGTTATTGCAGTTTACAATATAAAATGTATTTATTATTTTGTGGTAGCAATAATTTAAAAATAATTTAACTTTATTATTTAGATAGCCCCAAGCAGTATATACATTTTAGGAGAGATCCCCGTCGACATTTGCCAACTAAACGACCGTTAAATACGCCACTTTTAGTCACAATATATCTTCAAGACAGTATTATTATTAGGTATATTCCATACGGACGTAGAATGGAAAAATCGTCACTTCGTGACATCTCAATGTCTCCGATGGTGTACACATATTTTTTTCATAATTTAGACATTTAACTGATAAAAATATGTGGACACAATCGTTTTTGGTACACCCATTTTTTTTTTTTTTGGTTTCGGTAATAAATAATAATAGGTAATAATATATTTAATAAATTATAATCCTGTGTTTTATACGCGTATAATACACGAACGACAACTAATACGTATAAAAACAATTAGAGGTATTAGAGGCAAGACAAAATCCTACATTATCATCGGCTGGCATCAAACTCGTTCCTTTTGATGTATCTATATACGACGCAGGACATTTTTCCAGTCGGTAAATTGTAAAAATGTTATGAACTTATCGTCGCCACTATTATACTTCTACAGATCTATGAGATTATAGTAATATACACTATGTAGTTTCGATTTGTTTACGTAATTAGATATAATACAATTTTGTTCATTAATTATTATTATTTTAATATTGTAATATTAAAAAATGTTTATCTTTTTTTTTTTTTAACAGTAAATAATGATTATTTTTAGAATTAAAATACAAAAAATATATTTTGGTTACCTACATATTAAGATATTTTTTTTTTAAATACTTCAATAAAAATAATAGTAGGTACATTATAAATTTAATATGTACCTATGCGGCCAATGACCTTTGTAGTCGAGGCCTTGTATGTAAAATAATAAAAAAAAAATATGTACCTTTTTTGGGTTTATACATATTATATTACAATAATTTTTGTTATCTATGCATAATCTATATATTATGGGCTAAAAATAAAATAAGCATATTAGTTTGAAACAGAGCTGTAAGGTACTTCTTCGATTGGTCTTGGAGGTGTCGCGTCGAGCCAGACTGGTCCCGTTGTCCTATAGCTCTGTCTCGCTCTGATGACGGTTACTTTACTCGATGTCCAAGACCACAACGGTCACATCAAAATACTATATTGTGATACGGTTCATTGTAAGACCATAATATAACGATGCATGTTGGGATATTTTACGAGTTTAAATTGAGCCGTTCAAATGTCTACCTTTGGTCAATGGTTATATAATTTAACGAATTTCTATTATTATTTTTTTTGAACTCAAACCTGGGGTCTATGCCCATTAGCTGTTGGAGGGGTTATGAACTGTGATTGGTGCTGTAAGGTGTTGTTACGGTTGTTACGGTAGATAATAACTACGTGTATGCGTGGCAAGGTTGTTACTACTACGAACCCGGGTGGGTCGACCATTCTGGAGTTGGTAGCTGCCAACTCTCCGTGCCAAGCCATACATCGTTGATCTTGTATCTACACTCTCTGGTTTATCATAATATTCATAGATAAGCGTAATATTTTGTGTTACAGCCTACAGGACAGAATTTCGTATTTTATATTACGATAAAATAGTGATTAAGTGCATCGTCAGGAGTCACTGGCCTCCCTGTTTCTTGGCAACAAATCCAACTACATTTCCCCCACCCCACCCAAAGTCTTATAATTTTTGCGGGGACGATGCTTGAGCAGGAATTCCGGGAGTGGTGGCAGGAATTGTCAGGAATGGAGCACTAAATATTGGCTTTGGAAAAAATTAAAAAATTGAAGTTGGTGTGGGTGGGTAAATGTACTTGACGAACCCTTGTCTCCACATGAAACCACGTGTTCCAACCGTACCAACTTTTACCCCTACCCCTACCCTCTACAGACACGTACCCAAAGGCCGATGTTGTTAACGGTCGACATTTAAAAATAAATAAATTGTGATTGTAGACCAATCATAGACCATGCAATTTAGACATCTAGTAATACAATTGTATATAAATTAAATTTTTGAAATTATGAATCAAATATAAATATATAATGTTATTGAACGTTTGTATAAATATCTAAGAATATGACTAACAGGGAAACACGTCAGTATTTTATTTATAAAGTTTATTGTTATAATATTATTTAAGACATTTGATATAACAAATATAAATAATCTACAATATGTTTTCATTTTCAAGAACAATGTTGTGTTCATAAATCGTAACATTATTACACGATTTGATATCAGGACAAGTATTTCACAAAAATAGTATAGACACATATAATTGTGCATTTTACAAGTACATGTCTTATACATGTATAATATATTAAGTTGAAAACTAAGAAGGTACCTACTTACCAAATTATAATTGTTTTTTCTTATAATAATTATTGTTGTTATACCTGTTGGATATAGGTAGTATGTATTATATTTTATGAAAATAATAGAACGTTTTATTTCACAAAGTATAAAAGTACACAAAATCTATTATTTATATACTATATTTGAAGTATATTATAAAAAATTATATTTATTTGCATAAACGTAACGACTAAATTTCATTTAGGAACTATAGTAAACATATATTTTTTTTTTTTCAAAAACCGAAAGCTTACATAATATTATATTGTAATATTTTTAGGAAATTGAATGTTTTATAATTTCTATTACAAAAATATTTAATATACAATATTGACCAAAATGACTGAAGTCAGATCGTGCTTAAGTGTTTAACCGTGATTTTATATGCATTTAATATCGAACATATTGTTTTGAGTGTTTAGCATAATATATTATGCATAATAACATTATGTCAACACAATAGTGCATACTTTTATTGCGTTTCTTTTTTGTTCCTGTCTGCCGATTCCGAGTACTTGGTATTATGGTCGTCATCTTGTGGGAAGTAATTAACTCCCCGGAACAGCGACGATGGTTTGGACGAAGAAATCTGTTGAAAGGCGTTTAAGTTCCCGTAAAACTTTTCACCCCTGATGTCGCCGACGAACTCGTTGTGATGGCCACCGATCGGGTGATGATATTGATGATGATGATGACCGCCAACCGGACTATGATGATGATATGAGCCGCCGAACGGATTTTGGCCTTCGAAAGGTTGATGGCCACCGAACGAGTGTCCGGCGAAAGGCTTGCTGCTGTGGTGTAGAAACAACGATCCGTAGCCCACCTAGAGAATCGAAAAGGTCGAATTAGATTAATTTTTATCGTCGCATGAAAAATTATAAAAATAATAATATTTATGATATTAAGCTCGTTGCTTGCTCACCACACTGGTGACGACCAACGCAATCTTTGACAATATGAACGCTTTTTTTGTCAGAAAATATATAGCCGCGAATATGATTGGAATAACGGAAGCGATACTTATTTGCGTGGCCAACACGTTTGGTAACAATGACCTTTTGAATATCATGTGTCCTGAAAAATAAAATTCACATGAAAATATTACCATTAATTTAATATAATATGGTACTTATAGATCGCTCACAGGCCGGAATTTTGGTTGTACGCCGGCATGTCGCCAAAAAAACCACTTGGTGAGCAATCTATATTATACTATCTACAATAAATAATGATACTATAGTACCTATATAATACTAATGCTGAATTGCATGAATACAATTTATTAATTTAATGGTTCAAGAAAATATCGTGGACCACTAAATCGTGTTTAAGGGACAATATTATAGCTCACTATTGATTCGTTAAATGGTAAATGATTTCAACCCGGCAAAAGTATTTTATTTTATTGTTATTTTAAAGAGCTAGGCATTTTTTAACATAAGTATGTACGATTTCTAATTAACTTAATTGACAACTACAGTAACTATGCTTAATATAATATGTGATTGAATATTAACATTGGAAAATATAAATATATTTATAAACTGAACAGTATTTGAATAATAATGATAAATATAAACAAATATATAAATAGAAATTTAAGTTTGAAAATTAGAATTTATATGTACCTATAGTATTCTAACATTAAAAAATATTATTTTATAATAATTCATAAAATTATTACTTACTTCTGAATACTGATTAATATTATACATAATACATATTACTAAAATAAATTTATATTTATTATGATTATCATATTATTGAGTAATACGTATGTTAAATTCCATCTTAGTGCCTTTTATAGAATTTACACGCATAACACAGATTCGTAGACTGATTTATGTTCGTTATTGGTATAAAAAAAAAAATGTATGAAACTCATAAAATACTAAGCATGTTAGTGATATTGTTTATAATTTAAAAATGTGTATAATATTCTTACGACATGGTTAATGTATAATCAGTTAAAACAAAAATATCATAATGATTAATGATTTATTTTTAAGACATAAAGCGATATCTAGTGGTCTGATAACACTTTTATTTTTATTGATTCACTATTGGATAGTAACTAGAGGAACCTCGGTAGTCGGTTCACTTAATTTAAAATCAGCTCTTTATTTATGTTGTCATTAAAAACTATATCAAATATAGACACTATTAATAAACTAATAAACTACATTACTGCTTAATCGAATAACTACAATAGTTTTTAAAAAGTTTTTACATACCAAGAAAGTATGCCAACAAAATATCCGGTGCGAATAAAATCGTTGACTTGTCATTCAATTTTTAATATAAACTATCTGATCCCGTGCACTTCGTTTCCCGTTAAATGTACCAACTCTATATGACTCAAACACTGTTCAATGCGTTATTTAATATTCGGTGTATGATGTTCTAGATTTATCTTAACTTTTCTGTTGCTTGGAATAAAAATTCTGTTTAGCAGCAGTATATTATCAGGTAGGCAATCTACCTGCGGTAGATCGCGGACCCCGTGCTGCTTGTACGTAAGTGTATGATTTAACTCAAAAAGTTCCAAAGTTATACCAAGTTTGACATTTTTATACTTAATTCCACCTACCTATAAATCCTAACCTTACCTAACCGTACTAAAATCCGATGAATAAAAAAAATGAATTTAATTTGAATTGAACATCAATAAATAGTTTTTGCAGTTTTTCTAATTATTCGGTTGACTTTTTAAAAATTTCTTTAAACTTTCGTAAAAACTTTCACCTGGCAATTACGAACATCTTACAAAAAATTTGAGACAAATCGGACCAGCCGTTCTCAATTGATGAATGGTTAAAAGTTTAAAAAATTAAAAATTAAATTTTACAAAAGCACGGAATAATTTTATGCAATTTTCGTGTTTTTACTTTTGATCGATAAAATCCAATCCAAATAAATGTATTTGATTTTTGGATTTAAATTTAAAAACAACCGAGTCAATATTGTTTAGTTATAATACCCATCAATATACATTTGTAGACTGTAGTTACCTATTATGAATGTCGTGATACTAAATCCGAACCGTATAATACTACTACATATCGTACATACCATAACCCAAGCTCCGGTCGTCAAATTTACGTCTTGGGTCCACAATGAAATCGATTATTCCTCTGCCGGTGTACGTGGGGCCGATTCGCATCTGCAGCCCTGGATACAAGAGACTCATGTCCCAACAAAACGTTCGCCTGGAAAGCAACGAGGACGCAGCTTCAATGACAGCGCCGACGTTGTACGGGTTATCGCCTGTAAAAAACACAAGGAACTGATGAATATTATGACGACAAACATTAAAAAAATAATATTTTTTGACTTATTGATCAATACTGTTCGATTTGTCCGTACACGATAATAATAATACATAATTTATTGCAATAACCAGAAATACTATATGTATAAAAGTATTTAATACAAGTCGCAAGCTTATCCGACAAGCATAATACATATAGCTCGAATACGTAATATGAGCTGAGCTCATATTACAAAAAAGCAAATTAAAAATAAAAGTTTATATAACAGCGTAACACAATAAAGTGAACAAGACAGGAGAAAAATAATAGTTCAATAACTAAGCTAAATACAGGAAAATATAATATTAATAATACAATTCTTATAGCTGTTATTGGAATTATAAAAATAAAAGATGGCCGACCTCACCACAAACATATAAACAATAGATCAACGACGCCACATCATAACCATTAACTTTTAAACTGTATTTATTAATTATTAATGTAAAAAACCAAATTGTAGGATAATAAACTTTGTATTTGAAGCCTTATATTAAATTTAAAAAAAAAAAATAAAAAATAAGCTATATTAATATATTGTATTTACGTAATAAAAAGACTAATCTATAATATTATTAGAATTTGGGTTTTAAAATTAGTGCGATTAAATGGTAAAATTAAATTTTCCATTTTCCATTTTTTAAATTAAATCATTTTTTGTTCTTGTATTAATAAAACAATGTGCAGGCTGAAATTTATTTGCACTAACATTAAACCTACATAGGTAATAAAATCTGACGCTCATAATTTTAACTAAAAATTTGAACGTAATTTAACGATTTAACCGTCGCTCGGTCAACAATGGTCTGATAACAATATAATATTTAGAATACATAATTTGACCGACACAAGGTTAAAGTTTATGTACACAATATTATTGTCATTACTATCCTGTATACTTTGGTAAACATTAATAGAACTTTTATCGTGCGGACCTATCGAATCAATTTCTTTCTCAGTTTCTGATTTTTTTTTAATCTCACGGTAATAATAATATGGTAGGTAGCCTACTAGCCTATTATAGCAAAATCAATATTATTAATGCACTTAAAACAGTATGCCGTGTGCGTACAATATCAATATTAATCAAATATTATATTATAATGGGTTTACCGACGAATATCGCTCAATTTTAGCTGATTGTTACCGTCGCAATAATAATAAATTAATTACAGTATTAAATATTAAAAGTACATAATATAATTATTCAACGCCGTAGCGTGCGTGTTTAAGGATCATCGGCCAACAGTTTAGTACAATAGTAGTACAATATTGAATTAATTATGTCCCGTTGTGAATCGCACAGCCTCCAATAAGGTCAACCATCTGCATAATTGCTAGGTAAATGAATGGAGAAAAAAAACATGTTTCACGTACACTTATTCAATAAAGTCTTTGGAATACAATCGTGTAGTATTATAATAACAGAATTATTATTGTTATTAAAACGTTAACGCGTAGATAATAATATAATAATTGTGCAGTGTAAAATTTAGTTACATGAAAACCAAATTTACCAAAGTACTACTAATGCTACAATATTATAGGCTACTGGTTAGGAATTTGGACAGTCCACTCGAGCAAATGCGTGTCCGAGCTGCATTGTAATTTGTAATAATTTTAAACTTTAAATCGATGCTAGGTCTGCGCACTACTATTACAATTATTATTATTCTATGTGCTCGGATAACACATATTACAATTTTATAAATAGAGGACGATAAACCGTTTTGAATTTTTTTTTTCCTTAAAGGTAGGGCAGATATCAAATACACATTGTAATTTAAATAAATATTATATTATCTAAAATATACGCGTTGACCCGTTATATTACAAATTGCTTATTTAATTAGGTACAGAGAATTAATGTAGCATATATAGATAATAATATTATGATGGTTTTAATGGTACTTACTCGACTCGCTTCGCTCACTATGACCGATGGCAGTAGTTGTAGTGTAGTGTTATTATTTTAGACTCGATAACGATGAAAAATGTTCTATCATACCGAGTCTATATTATGCATTGTCCACCAAGGATTCATAAAATATGTTTTAAATATATCTAAAAATGTCACCTAACCAGATTATTTATGGATTTAATTTTTATTAAATTTTTATTCATGGTTTTCAGTTTTCACGATATCAACTTGGAAAAAATTATATGATCCACCTAAGTAAAACTTTTCGAGATTCCTGAGTTCCTCAAAAACTGCTCCGTTTGCTGACCTAAAGATAAGTATCTGTAAAGTGATGTCTACATAGTATGGTATTATGTATATTTATTCAGATTGTATAGTATTGATAGTAAATTATAACAATATACTATAATATATAGTATAGTATTATCATTTACGATTTACTACATATTATGCACATTTGTTTCGTTTAATGTACCTACTTATAAGAATTTTAAATGTGGAGCGTCGGTAATATTAAACCTTAACTGACTATGAGCTTAACATTTAAAATTACCTAGTTAATTAGTATTATTTTAGTTTGTTCTAAAACCTGATCGAAGCTTAATTATTATTACATTTCAAAGTATTAAAACCGTTAGTCTTAACTATTTAACTATTATATTATTATTATTATTATCTATACGGGGACACGTGTTCAATGTTCATTTGGACGTCTAAAGTCTAAATCGTTTATATGAATTGGTATAATAACTATATATTCGCAATTTAGTACCTACTTAAAATAAAATATGATAATATTTCGATCACTTATGTCGTTATTGTTTTATTACCAAATTATCGTATTAAGCATTTTAACTGGGTTTGGCCAGCGATCGAGTTAGGATATCTATATCTATATATATATATATATATAATCAGTGTCGTCATTTTTTGTGTTTTTTTTTTTTTGGGGGGGGGGGGGGCTAATAATTGCATTTGTCCGGTTTAGACACAATTTAAAAGTCCAGTCGGACTGATAAAATGAATGATCCTTGGGCCGATAAACCTCGGTAAATTATTCTTGTAATATTGTATGTACCTATAATAGGTAATAATATGGGAGATTGTAAACTAAACTCGGCCCGAGGAAAAAACATTTCCAAAAGGTCGATGGTAAACTCGGCCCGGGTTTTTTTCAGGTCAAAATTATTTAGATGTAAACTCGGCCCGGGTTTTTTTCAGGTTAAAATTATTTAGATGTAAACTCGGCCCCGATTTTTTTCAGGTGAAAATGATTTAGGTGTAAAAACCATAATTTTTCTTATAATATTTTTGAGAAACATTTAGCATTACCCAGAGGACACCACGAGGCGGTTCTCATTATCCTTCAAAAATTATTTTCAGTTTCATATTATTATTCATAGTATGAAATTCGTTATTTAAATGAAAAATGTAATTAAAATGTTATAATATTGATAATAAAATAATTATAAATGTAATTATATAAATTTATAAGTGTAAAAATGTGTAAAAATATAATAAAAAATATATAAGTAAAATTGTAGTGTATATAATGAGTGAAAAATTTTAGTATAATAATATATAAATCTAAATTTTTAAGTAAAAAGCCATGTATTTTACATATTCACTCACTGATATTTCTTTATTTTTATATTTTGTAAGTGTTCTTTCTAAGAGTTCTTTTTTTTTTTTAGTTTTTATATTTTGGAATTTAAATGGTCCATCTAGGCTGTTGATTTTAATGTACGTTTCTGTTTGTACTTTTTTAATTTTGAAATGACGAAATATATATTGAGGTGAGTGGAATTAAAACTTGAATTAAAATGCTCATGAAATGATTCACATGCATTTGTTGTTAAATACGTTTTAACTGATGCACTGGCCCACATTTCAGGAGGAAACATAGAATCTGACACCTGACATTTTCGGGCCGAGTTTACAATCGATTTATTTTACCACCTGAAATTTCCGGGCCGAGATTACAATCTACCTATTTATATTACCTAAAATTCTCGGGCCCAGTTTACAACAAAAAAGGTAACTCGGGCCCAGTTTACATTTGCCCAATAACATAATATTATGTTTTGTTAGAACTTATTGTGGTATTGTGATAATGTTATGTAATACTTTTGAATATCTATATTATTATATCAATGGACAGTGGTAAATGTAGTTGTTTTTAGTTACTACTTACTAAAATTAATTAGTTATAATGGTAGAAAAAGTATTTACTCGTTTATCTCTATTAATAAAAATTTATTATAATATCCTATAATAGCTTGTATTTGAGGGATCTGACTTTCTTGAACTTTTTAGATTTTTCACACAATCGTTTGATTTATGTTGTAATTTTTGGAAAAATTGTAATCGTCACATGATCAGTAATCGATGTGTGAAGGAAAACTTTGCGTCCAAGTGTAAATTATAATGTAATAATGTAGAAATATTTTTATGATATTAAAATTTTTTTTTAAATCGATAGATATTAATATATAGTTACATACACTGAGAACTCTATAGTTGTGATTTTTTCTAGCGAGATGAACAGTTCATTTTAGCAGTTCAGCAGTTTATAAGCTGGGTGCATCACTCTGGAGACCAATTTCTATAATTCTATACGGTCTAGAGTCTAGACTCTAAAGTAACCTGTATATTGTCTTAAATTGTGCTACCTGTAAGTATTAAAAATAACAATAGTAGGTAAGGATCTAAAAAAATTGTTGTACATAATAATATAGCCGCAATTAGAGTTAGAATTATGAGGGTTAAGTGGACTAAGAAACCTCAACGAAACTGTTAAAGTACAATATCTCGCGTTTGTTCCACCCCTATCCCCCCATCCAGCACATAGTACTTACCATCAGACATTTTACTGTTTTAGATTCCTAGCTAAGGGAAGAATGCTTTGCTTGCACAGCTATGTTTATTTTGATGTATCTTACACTACCATGGTGAATGAAGTAATAAGCCAATCGGCAATAATAGGAATGGTGTAGGTACCCATAATGCTATGCACCCGAAAATTCTAGGAAAAGATTTTTTTTTTACATTAATAATATTATTAGTGTACATTTATTTACCTGTAACACGAGAATAGTTAAAGAAAAACATTTCGTAGTCAATACTAATTTTTTGTTTGGTGGGCTAAGTCTTAATCAGGGGTGCTAGCCCCATCCCCTCTCTGGCTCACTAGTTGCACTACTAAATAGCATTATAACTTATTTAGACGGATTCCATACACGTCTCATCAGCTTACTTTAGTCGATCGAGAAAACATAATACCAACAATCTTGATTTTAATAGAAAGATTATAAATATTATTAAATAAAGACATAATATGATGCTTTTACTGGGAATCATGAAAGGTACAATACACGCTGTGTCGTGTCTGAAACAAAACCAGTAAATTATAAATAATAATAAGTAGGTATTACGGGTTCATGAAACGTAATAACTTATACCAGTTAGTTGGTGATGGTAGTCGTGGACGTTAGCCTGGACAGGTCTAATAATAAATACTACAACAAATACATTTTAGGCGTGTGCACCTCGTAAAATATGTATTTCGGAAAACATTAAAACGGTAAAAATAGCCCCTTTACCGACATGGTTTTCTAAGGCCCGACGGAGTATGTAATTATTAATTATCGTAACAACTTATTGCAACCTTCGAAACGTTCATCGCGGTCAAGGCCCGAGGGCGGTGTCCACGGTGACTACAATAGCTGGACTTTACGTATACCTCCTCGGTGGGTACAATAATAACACGATTATGTACCCCAGTTAACAGTTTTTGACTGTAAACGTCTCAAAAATGAATGCTCAACGCATAATAATATCATTATATGTGATTGAATACGTTTTTAAATCGACGCCGGGTATTACAACAGTGTGATGAAATCAAAACCAATAATATATATTTTGATATTTTTTATAACATTTTCTATTTGATAAAAAGTCTTTTTAAATATTTTAATGACACGACTAGGTAGTCGATAAACATTGCACCCATAAAATAATAATAAATTACATGTGTGAGTAAGATTCTAGTTGGAATCCCGTTCAATTGTTTAACATTTGTAACCTACCGCATGATCTGCTGCTCGATGAAATAAATAATTTGGATAAAATATTAATAATGACTGACTCATTAGAGATCAGTGTTTGGTGACGATAATATAGCGATATATAGTGATGATATATATGACATAATATTATGACGTTTGACTTTTCTGCTGTATAAATACCTACTTTTAAATAGACATGAAGAATGTCATTGCGACAGTCAGAATTCGTCTCTTAAATCTACAAACGCGGGCAATACTGATCGTTTTATAACCCTTCGACGAAATCAATTTTAGACGATTTGCAGCTGAATTTAATACCGTCGACTAGAGTGCCGAGATTTAGGTTCATATTCCATTTAAGACACGGGAGTCTCGTGACGGGGATGGTTGGGAGAGAGTAGTGACCAGGGAGATTATAGATCCAGCACCTTGAAGGCTTACCTAACGAATAGACTCCTCGGGGAGCGGCAAACGACTCTGTGCCGGGACGTCTGGAAATCTCCAGTCCCGGGTCCAAAACCACCGATTCCATGGATTCCGTCTGTTCGATGGCGGCCATGGCCTGCTCGTTGATACACGGCAGGAACGGGTCGGCTCCGGCCAAGCAGCTCTTGACCGCCGTGCTGACGGTCGAGGTGTGCAGGTTTTGCAGGTGGTCGTCGTCGAGCACGTCTTCGCTACCTCCACCGCCGTCGCCGACACTGCCTCCAACGCGGCCGTCTCCGCCAACGTCTTGGCCGCCGGCGGACTGTCCGTCGGAGAACAGGACGCACTGCACGCAGCCGACGAAAATCATCAGCTTGGCCAGGTAAACTCCGAGTACGGCCATCGTCGGCGCCTTTTTGGACGGAATTCGATGAGATTAAGACGTGTCTTGCCGATGAAATCAATGCAATATTCGCGGACGATATTATTAAGCGTGGGCGTAGCAGTGACGTCGTATAGTCGTTCGCTCCGGGCTGTATACTATAATATTATTATTATCGTTTTAAATACCGACGACCGGACCAGACAGCTGATATCTGCAGCAGACGACTGCGACCGCGACTACACACACCGGTACAGTGGGCAGTAAGCCAGCGGATCGCGTAAGTATATTATGATGATATACCGATATTATAACAATATTATTACCGCAGATACCTATATAATAATAATAATGTATAATATCGCCGTCATAGCACGCACCGCCTCCACGGGTATTACGACGAGATAATGTACATAATATTATAATTCCGAAGAAAGTTTCCGAGTTTTTCCTTTCGAGCGCATCCGACTGTTTCGCTTTTACCCGATGATCGTCTCTGTACAGCAGATACCCACGCGATATTGCGTGTACCTATACCATATATTATACATTGTACCTATGTTTAGGAAGATATTGCGGTGCACTGCACCGAGAGCGAGTCGTGGGCGTACGTTATAGGAGAGCAATGCGTTTTACGATGATTTTATAATAATATATTAACGGTATAATACAATATTATTATTATTATTACTTATTTATAATTCGTCTTTCTAACTACAATACAATACAGTCTATGCGATTTGCTATCACCGTTCGTTGTGCAGTATGTACCTACTTACAATGCGGCGCTCTGTGTTATGATTGCCGGACCGGAGCTATCGCCTGATCGCGATTCTCGCACGTCACTGAAACGCTTTCCGCCTGTATAGGTGACCAGAAAAATAAATAAAACAGTTTCAAAAAAAAATCTAAAAACCCCTATAGACATTATACTGTTATTGTTTTAATTTATAAGAATGCAAAAACAATTTTAGAACAATAATAATAATTTTTTGTTTTTTTGTTTTAATTGATATTATTGTTTATGGTATGCCCTGCTAGCTATAGAATAACATTACGTGGCAATCGTATACTGTATCAGACTTAAGTTATACCTAAAGTCGTTAAGGTCAAACTTTGTTCTAATTCGATATACGTCTGCATAAAACCATAGTTGTGTATAAAACTATGAAAAATGTAAAAGGACGAATTATACCACACAAGAGTAAAGTAGAGTCGAACAATGTTATACCTTGTCCTACAAGACCTAACGGACCACTAACAAGAAGATTTCTTTCTTTACCATTTGCATATTTTACTGTAAATAAAACTCTGTAAAAACGTTTGGTGTGTTGAAACGAGATATCAAACTAATTAAAAAAGTGTTTTACACTTATGTTTCTCCATAAGCCCTCGGATATCCTGCAGCAAACGCAATCATACGATGGTCATAAATCCTGCGAGCTAACCGTCTGACCTTCGGCGGCATTTTTTTACGCGTATAAGACATTTATTTTTTCCTTAGTGATAGTTTTTCTGGAGATACTTTTACCGGGAAACGATTTTCATCAACGCGGCTTACAACGGGCCCCGGAGAATATGATATTAATATCATGTATAATATTAATATGATCTATGATAACGATAATAATAATATTACCGTTGCTTGGACGTGATTGTCAGAGTAGATCCTTCGTAGTATTATAGAAATATAGGATATAATTAATTGTTACCTATACGTATATTCGCCGGCCCAAACGAAGTCATTATACGAGACCTGCTGTACGATGAATCGCCGATACTGCTGCAGGACGAGGAGGAGGATACGACTATTATACGGCACCCAGCACGTAGTTGCCCATATAATATTATGTACATAATATTATTTATTATAATAAAAAATTGCGTGTTCCGTGGCGTGTCGCGGCGTAATGTATATACGCTATAATATACATTAGAATATTATTATTTTTATTAGTACCTATCGTAGTTTAAAAGGCGCCGCTGGCTTTATAATAATAAGTTATTCCGGGCGTCGACCGTTTTGGGGACTGGTTTTGATTTTTGATTTCCTCTCCTATAAACCGACTGTACAGGACTAAACTCAGTCGTATGCTATCGGTGCTCAAAACGAACGGATCTAGTCCGATCTAATAAAATTGTATTAATCCTAGCCACAATGCGACGTGCGGTTGTACAAAGTCGAGGCTGCAGCAGACAGCAGGTATATACCACGTACATGGTATATAATATTATATATTATTACGTAGGACAGGTACAACTCACCTGCACGTGCTCCCACTGGCAGGCTGTTTTCGTCGAATGATTTAGATTTTTCTTCTCGTAATGATATGAGATTGATCACACACTTTCTAAATCGCAGGGTCTGTAATTAACTACTCCTCGGAGCAATCAAAACGGTGTTTAGAAATTGTGGCCTCCGTATTCGTAGAAATGATCGACGACTATAATATATAATAACTAAGAGCTGCACGAATTTGAACGAGTGTCGACTGTACAAAAGTCGTACTCGAAACCAAAAAATACCGATAGTGTTTTAGAATCTAAATTTAAATCTAAATTTTAGATAATCGAAATAAAAATACATTATGAATCTGAAATAAATCTGGCTTGATATACTTTAGAAATCTGCAGTTTTCCGCTTCGCTGCGGGAAAACACTCGCCGACACTTAACATAACGAAAGTTTTCTTCGGATAATATAATATTATAATAAAATATAAATGATACGTAACGTCGTATTGTTTTTAATTAAAGAGCATATCGAACGTTTTCAAACTAGGATTGGATATAGGATGCTTAAGTGACCAGCACAATAATAATATAATTTTTTTATTTACCAGCTATGGGTAGTCTAATAACACGAACGCATGTAGGTCTCCATAGTTGTTGTGCTGCTGCGTAGGTAAATTAACTTCAGATTTATTGTCCGTAACAGTATAGGTATTCATTATATTATGTTGAACGGAATGATACGATCTAATGCCGAAGAATCTCATTATTTAAAAAGTATAATAATAATATGCTATCGATGCGTGTGTTTGGTCAATTTATTCACGAAGTCACTTGTACCCTTTTCCAGGAAACGCGTCTTACGTTTCTAATACGATGACCTTTGTCGTGAACAATATACGCCTAACTCGTTTATACAATTAAAACGGAGAAGAACTTTATATTATACGAAACTCGAATAAAATATATTCCGTCACATAAACTATGTGTATTATAAATCCAACGGCAATTAAAAAAAAACTTGAACATCAAAAAGTGAAAGGGGCGAGTTGTATTCAATAGAAAATTGTAGTACAATCTGCAGTAGGTACCTAATATAATATTATAATAATATTGTAGCACACGAATCTTCTCTCAACTTTTACGTTTTATAATAATATGCTAAACACATAGAAAATGTGTTAAATAACCGAAAATCGTGTAGTATAATATCTCGTCAACGGATAACTCAGCCGTGATTCACACGATGAACTTATCAAAAACACGACCATGGTCTTGCACTGTTTGTGCGAGTGAGTATACAAGTTATACTCACTACGACACGAATTTATATTTCATTCACAGCAATCAGATTTCTTTTTTTTATATAAATGAGAAAGGAGTTTTACAGCCCACCTATATTTATATACATGTTATATAACCGGCGGTATGGCTGAAGTATCACTTAGATATTTTCAATTAGTGTAAATGTTAGTACTCGTAATAATTTGTGTTGGCCATTGATAAAAAAAAAAAAAATGTAAAAATATATGTTTATTAATTCATTACCATGGCGGCGAACGCCAAACCGGTTTTCGGAAACAAGTCAATGCTTGGTTACCTATGGTTCGTAACGCTCATTGCCACATCAAGGTTTTTTTTTTCACGATCAACTTTACTGTACGAGCTGTACAATATTTGTTAATGTAACACGTGTAGACCTTAAACACCGTAGGGTGCAGAGTTTGACAGGAGTTATAGCAATGCAATGTGTAACAGAAAAAAAATAAAATCGTTTAAAAAATCAATAAATTTATTTCGTCAAATCAAATCAAATAAATAATAATAATTAAAAGTCGAATAAATTAATAACAGTCTGTAGAATATGTGTATTTCTTCGAGTGGACCACAAGTAACATGGTTATTATTATGTCATTTGAGCGGGGGTGGACGATGGCACATTCGAGTAAGGTATGTAGAGTCTAGTCGAGTAAAGTAAATTCCAGTCAAGTCAAGTCAAGTCATGTCGAGTAAAGTCTAGTCAAGTCGAGTCAAGTCGTGTAGAGCTGAGTTTCAAAAAAAAGAAAGAAGTGGATTTTATTACAAACAAATCGGTTTTATTAAAATAAGTAATAAATAGTAGTCTTGGATGTACACACAAAAAGGATAACATAAAAAATGGTATAAAAAACATGACACAATGTATAACAATATAAAATAAAATAAATAATAATATTAATATAAGAATACGTGAGCAACAATTATTATATTTCCGGTCAAGTTCAAAAGGTAGTGTTTGGCCAGCAGTAAAATATGTATGTAGGTACGGGTTTGTTCGATCGGGAAGAGTTTTAGCAGCCGAGTAGTAAGTTATCGTACTAGTTTTTAGTGAGTGTGAGTGTGTTATTAGGTATTTCATGTGAAAGAAGAAAATATACTAGTCCTGAAGTGTATATAGAAATACCTCTACTTCTAGTCGTCGGTCGGTGTCGTCTCGTAGATAAGATCAAAGTTGTAACGCAGCAGTCGCAGGTGTGTGTAATCGTGGTTATATCGTTATTATGGGTTGCTATGGTTGCGGTATAGTGGTGTTCGTGATCAATATAGGTATAGAAGGAATAGATTTCTAACAGTTTCTATTCGTGTTTTATAGACAAAACCAGTTACGGAAATAGTTATTTATTCTTTTTTTTGTAATAATTCTTCTTCTTCTTCTCCTCCGGCCGACCTATATCGTCACACGAGCGGCTCACACACCTCACACACGCACACACATACGGCGTGCGGGTGCATGTGTGTGTGTGTCACTAGGTTAACTTCTGTATTTTTAACCGACCGCCCGGGGTAAATAATAATCGTATATTATTATATAGTCGTGTATATGGTAGTAAAACGTTGTTGTTATGTGTTGTGTGCGATCATTGTCCCGAAGTGATTAAGCAGAACCCGTTATTGACCGCCGTCGTTGTACAGTCGCCTCCGGAGTACGGATGTCGTATAATAATAATATTATATATACGTGGCGGGCGCGATGAACGGACGCTGTGTCGCTCTAGCTGATGTGTATAGGTATATAATAGTATATATTATACGCGTAGTATAATAATAATATAATAAATAACTAACGTGAGCTTGCGAGCAAATAATGATTTGTAAACGTAGGCGGAAAAACGAGTCGTCGACGGATTGTAGTGTGGGGGTTTTGGGGGGGTTGATATAAAAGAAAGGAAAAGTGAATTGAGCGGTATTATAGAAGAGGATCGGATGTATAAAAAAAATGTATATACTAATTAATATTAAAATAAATTATTTCGTTCCTATGGGGGAATGTTTTTCGAAGTATTTACAAATAAATATCGCCTCGTAGGGTGATGGCTGAGGGAGCGAGGGTGATACTATAGCTACGCGGAGCCCGCTACAAAGGGGGATGGTTTGCAGGGGTAGCGGCTTAGAGGTTGAGACGTTAGTGTTGACCGCGGTACGCCATTTCTTGGGCGCTCTCGCCTTCCAGGGACCGTCTGTATCCACCTCCGTGTCCGTGTCCGTGTTCCTCGGTGTAGTGTGGGTGAGACACTACTTCGTACGATTGTTGGCTCTTGCTGTTGGCCAACAACTTTTGGATTCCCATGACGACGGCCAAGACAAGGGCGATCTTGCCGACGACGAGAGCCTTGAATGCGAGCAGGGCAAGAGCACCGATAGCCAATGGGACGAGGGCGATGGCTTTCATCTTCAATAGCATCAACAATGGCATCAGCATCTTTTGGTGCTTCTTCTTCTTGCCACGAGCTGTGAAACACAAAACAAAAATATCGTTAATATATAAATAAGCCATATCATATGAGATTTGCATAATATTGGAGTTAATTCGCAGTCGAGGTCGCCTGCAGATGGACGGAAGAAAGCCGAGCGATTAAAAAATAAATAAAAAACACGATCGTCCGAAACCTTGAGTCCCGAGCCCGCTGGGCGATATAATATTATCCGAACGATATTTCTAAATATGTGAAAGGATCGTGCGGCTTTCTCCGGCTGCGGTGATACCGTCACGCCCACCGGGGGCCCCCCTATCGGCGCACTATTTGGGTTTTCGGGCCACCGGCGACCATGTGGCCGCACCCGGCGGGTCCGTAACACACATATTATTTTATATTTGTATTATTATTATTATATATTGTTACAACGCCGGGCAACTACGGTGTGCGCCCGAACGAATTTAGCGTTTCATTATTATTACTATTATTATTATTATTTTATGTGCGCCTGTCGACGGGTGTGTAATTCGTATATAATATCGTATTATACACCGAAGTTATAGTTAGGCCCGAGGCCAAAATCTCGACCCGATGACAGACAGAAAACTCGGAACGCGTGCGCGGTACCGCGGGGTCTGCGTATCATGACGTGTATTATTACCGCGTGTATTATAAGTTATAACAAATGACGGTGACCGGAAGGTTACTTTGCAGGCTGTGATCGCCAGAGAGAGACGGAGAGAAAGAAAGAAAGAAATCAATGGACTGTAGATAGACAGAAAAAAATAGATCGACTGTAGATAGACAGAAAGAAAGATATCATCAATTTGAATCAAAAATAGTATTTAACGGAAAAAAAAATGTTTTAAATTAAATATTGATTTGTCAAGTATAGCCTTATATCTGACATGACGACAGTCGATTATTATGTTATACTTCGTAATTATGTTAGAGAAGATATTATGTACGCGTACATGTATATAAGTACGTTTTTCTTAAACAAATCGTTACGAAAGCATAATATAATAATAATAATATTAATAATATAATATAATGGAATAGCGGAAAAATCGGGAGTTTAAGACTAAATCGTTGAAACAAATTTCGGATGTTATCACGTATAACGATTATCGAATAGCATATGTCTAATCATAATTCTAGGTGTGAGCCTAGGTAACTCCGTTTCAAAAACTGGTAAGGTGACCAGAATGACCAGTTAATTACCGTTATAATAATATGATGGTATAATAGCAGAGTTACCTAAGACGGTAAATGAGAAAAAAAATGGTTTTTACCTTCATCGAGAGATCTCCTCATGCCAGAGATGGACGATTCCGGGACTTTGAGTTGAAGGGTGTGGCTCTCTAGGAAACGAGCAACGCGGTCCAACAGGAGGTTTTCGACTTGGGCGTCCTTCTCGTCATCGTCTTTGGGCTGTGCTTCTTCGAGCTCAGACTCGGCGAGCGATCGGCCGTTCAAGCCTCGGCTGGATTCTACGGATTCGGACTTGACCAAAGATATTCCGTCGAACACGTCAATGCTGTCGGTCTTGCGCAAGGCCCGGTCGACGTACTGCAAAGCTCTCATTTTCAAGCACGTGGCCATGTTCTTCTCGGAGCAGTCCTGCATGACTTTGTACACCTTTTCCAGACCGGCTGACTCGTCGGCGGCGTGGGCGGCTGGGGCATCTTCGGCGGTCGGATGTGCGTACGCGGCTTGGGCTGCCACCAAGAACAGGCAAGCGACTGCGAGTTTTCTCGTCATCTCGTAGATTGTGCTTGAGTGCGGAATATTAATTTTTATCGCTGTTATTGCGATATAATATTTTATGAATAGTGTGAAGTGTGATGTGCGAGTGTTTTACTACTGTGCACCTCTTCACCACTGAACAAAAGCGACTACACTGATCTATAGTTTGCCGAGTCAGTTGTCTTTTATTCGACTGCGTTTCCGCCTGTTATTCGACTGGCGCGCCACCGCCACCGCTCGTTCGCCGCCGAGTTGGTGGGGTGCCGCCGCCGAGCGATCGGACCGAGTCAGTGGTTGCGACTCCGGCGGGGGTACACCACTCCGACGGGCCGCCGTCTGGACGAGCCGGCCGGACTGTGTCAACCTTGGCCGATATAGGGTTCGGAAACGGATGTACAATAATAATAATAATAATATAAGCTTCGTGTTTGGTCTTTACGTACGCTTTTCGTTTTCCTATCTATTTTTCCCGTGTCTTTCTCTTTTATCCCGCGCTCGCACACACGCCCGATGGACACGTCGAGTCTATGACCGCGCGCCGGACCGCGTGCTCGGGTCCGCGGAAACACCTGTTGCAGTATCTCTGCAAAATTTTCGTTTTGTTTTTTTTTCCAAAATCAACCTCGACGTGAGAGACTTACGCGGCTAGAACCTACTCAGCTGGTGCAGCGGACGGATCGATATAGGTGCGAGTGGTGCAGTTATGCGTCGACGAAGTGTGTGTGTTTTGTCGCAGAATATGTGTAATCACATAATGATAATATAATACCTAAAACGCACCTACAAAAGTCAGTTCGGTTTTGTTTTTATCATTTTCCACAGTGAATATAATAATGTCATTGTCGGCCACCGTACTAAGTCCGCGTATAATATAACGATATCGTAACGTATATTTTAGTATTAATGTATTATAATGCTACGCGAATCGAATTACTATAAACATAGGTAGCTTAGATTATATTATGCTATATGATAGTCTTCGGCATCACCATAATTATATCGAACGATAAACGCGGCGTTTAAGGTTTTGTATAGTTTTTTTATTTTTATCTATATAGAAATACTAACAAAACTAACGTCAAGATGTAATTACACTCCATTAAAGATATTATTCTATTCTATGTCCGATGACATTTTAAACTTAAGATAATCGTTTATCATCAATAACTAACCCACACTAGCTAACGTGGTTATTTTAAATTATCAATTTAAGTTTAAAACAATCACAAAATCCCTATTTTTCTATCGTATTTCTTACATGACTTTTTTGAACTAAAAGTTGATTTTTTTTTTTTTAAATGATACTAGAAAAAACATTAATTAAAAATCCATTCTAGTCATAATTTTTTTATATTTTTACTTAAAAATATAATAATCTATTTTTAACAATGTATTTTTATATCATACCAAATAAATATTATATCGATAGCAATATAATTACATATAATCAGGACTAGATACTTAAATATAAACATTTAGCATTTTTAATAGATTAAAACATAATATTACTTTAATATTGAAATTTCAACTGCATTTGAGTTTTAAAATATTTAAATTAGTTAACCGTAAAAAGTAACAAAAAATGTAATTAAGGTAATTTAGTCACTCATTAAATTACCGTAACATCGTATCTTTTAAAAACTATATTATCTTCCAGTAAATCAGGAACACACGCATTTTTCATTTCTTATGTATTTGACAAAAGGTCGTTTTCCACATTTTTTTTTTCCAAGTTTTATATAATACACCTTCCATTTCTTTGCGATACATATTTAAATTATTATTTTGAGCATCATTCAATTTCCCAGTCGTTATAGAAGTCGATTGAAATATTAATATCATGCCAACACAATATTATAATACCATAATGGTATGTGTGTTTTGTCATTGTGTATCTCACTATTACCATCGTCGCTGTATTCAAAAGTCAATTAATTTCCAACAGAGTGTGTTTCATTACAGCGTCGGTCGCACGAAAATCGTCGAATCATTCGAGTGTACATGAAATCGACTTTATTTATTTAACGACTAAAAGGGCGAGTGCTACGATATAGGCAGGCGATATAATAACCGTAACAATAATAATTTAACTGTGGCGCTGTATGTTATTATCATTTTTGTCATAGGTATTATTACAGCCGGTGTGCACGCCTATTCTGGTATAACATTAAACCTTCATTGTCTACCCGTCCAAGCACTTCTCCGATACATTTTCCAAGGAGGTAGGTACAACTGACTCGTGTCGAGCCTTATGTCGAATATCAAAAAAAAAAAAAAACTAAAGAATCCTGATGAAATAGAAAACGAGTGTATTTTAATACTCGGGTAAAAAAAAAACGATTTATAGATACTATAAGAACGATAAACAACCCAACTGCAAAAAACCATAATAATAATATTCTACACATACGGATCGATAACATTCGATATTTTTATTTCATCGTCGCACACTCGCTACCTCACAACCTACACGGACCAAATCCCGAACAGACAGAGAAATTCGCGACATGGCACAACAGTCCAGTTCCATTCACAACGCAGTACGTACAATATGACTGCGCTGCGGCGTATATAATATTATTACGATTGTGTTATTTACTAATTATCACTTAAAAAACCGATCGAATTCAGTGTTTTCTCGATTTCTCCGTTTATAAACGAAGACTATACTGTTACAATACCTGCATGCGTAACAACGACGAGTCCTGCACTGTTCTGTCATAGCGTCTGAATTTCTCCCTAAAATATTTCCCGTCCATTCAATTACTTACGTCGGATAGCCGCCGACATTACTGTAACAATGCACACAGGTACCTATTGAAATGATGATAAAAAAAATAGTAATAATAATCGCGTCTATTCACACACACGAAACGGTTTTTATTCGCGCCTATTCGTAATACGCCACGTTTTCCATTGAAGTGAAAAAAATCAATTTATATATAATATCTAACTTACGTGATACACCGCATATACCTAGCGCACAATAATAGTATAATACTATGTTATAATAATAATAATAATAAAACGATGATTATGAATATTATTTACGAGTTAACAATGAGCAGTAATACATTTATTGTACGGTTATAATAAAAATTTAAATAAATCAAACTAGCCAATAATGCACGTTGACCTATTGATATTATATTATATTATGATAATGATTTCGAGATATTTCTGTTTTCCTACTCATATTCGCCCAAATACACCACGATATTACAATTCTCAAGCAACTTACATAGGTACCATAATATTTATTATTCTATAATAATATATTAGGTAATACTTATATTGTTATATTATTATTACCTCGATAATGTCGTTTTATTTTTCATTTCAGTTGAAAACAACAGATTTTATATTTATATTTTTTTCATTTTAAATCGATGTGGATTAAGGTACGAATGACGGAATTTTTATATTAGAAATTTAGAATAATTCTATTTATTTTTAATAATTAAAAATATATATTTATTTTTTTATTATTCATTTAGAAATTTTCGTTATCGAATAAAAATAATCAATATTTAGTATTGACAAACCATGTGAATTCTTAATTTACTCACGAAATTCGTGTATAATATAAAATATCCATAATTTTAAATAAAGAAAGTGCATCATTATTCTTGAATATAATTAAAGATATGATCGTTAGTCCTCGTTTCTGTCGGGATAATGATCGGTTTGTGAGGTGTCTAAGCCATGACCATACTATTATATTATTATAATAGTTATCCACTCTTTATTTAAAATATCTTAAGTCTTTATAGTTTATTTAAACTAGTTTGCGTTCAGAAACACAAAATAATCAAAGTATTCGTAAATAGTACCTATGTGAATAATACAAGGAAATAATGAGTACAAAACTAATAAGTAAATTAAACAATTGAGTAGGTAATAGTTTTATATATAATTGAGTAAAATTTTTCGATTGAAAAAAACAAATAAGATTTTATAAAAATTAAATCAATCATATAAATTATAATTATTTATCTAATGAAATTAAACAAAAATCGGGTATAATTTTTTTTTGCGATTGAAGAATGGCAACTAGATAAACACTCGCGAGTCACGAGTTTAAATTCTTATAAGACTTAAAAGTTCCTATAACTTGTTCAAAGCATAAAATTAAAACATATACCTATTATGCAAAAAATTTCAGATGTATAACTACAGTGAACGAATATCAATGATTGTTATAGAGAATATACCTTTTTGTAATGATAGATTTTTAGAGTCAAAAAATAGTATGACGTGGAAAAATTCAATGGGTACGATAATCGTACAACATATGACATTCCAAGGAAAAAAAACGTCTGAACAACGTTTCATAATAACCTCTACTGCAACTCATACTTCATTGTATGGACTAGTTTTGAACTGAAGTTTTATTTGACCAACGAACAATAATTATTATTGAAGAACGTGTCTTTAGTTCGAAAAAAAAAATAGTTTGGTTTTGGTCATAATATATTTCCTATTTTCCATTACCTATTCTCGTTGACATGAGCTACCTACTGAAGTATACAATAGAGTAGGCGCAGAGTTATTATTTAACTACACACGGTGACAGCTTCCTATCCGCTCGTGATTTATAATTGAAACGATGTCACGCAAATGCAAAAACCAGAAAATCGTGATGAAAATTAAAAACAAAGTCGTTGTTATAATATTAAAATACTATTTTATACACACACATACTAGGTACTCACTTGTTGCTGCTTGTGATGTTACTATATAGCATCGTCAGAACATTATATAAGATGCTAATATATGACGGTTGGTGTTATAGGTATACTTATTACTATAATATGTATATAGGTATAGGCTAATTTTTACAATTTTCGTCAAGTATAGTCCAAAGCTACTTTTTTTTGTTTGACTTGTAAAAGTTCCTATAGATAAATAGAAAAAATGAACTTAACTTATAGTTACAAAAGAGTTTCATTTGCACAAAATAACTAATGAGTAAATTTGGTAAAAGTAGGTACTTAATGTAAAAAACTCACTCA